TTTACCCTCTCTTTATAACAGTGATGATGGGGTGTCTCTGCTCAAATGCCCTTTGGGCACAGACATCCTGCCTCTCTGCCCTGATTCTTTACACTTGTGAAAATTAAAAATAAAAAAAAAAAGAAGGAGCATAATTTCTTTATCTCAGGGATATGTGTAAATAAACAGAATCAAATTGCATGTCACTGGGGGAATGAGGAGACCAGTGATGGCTGAAATAAATGCCTACTGTGATAGGGGCTGGTGTGGGGTAGGGTTAAAACCGAGCACTGTCAATCTCCCGTCTGTACTGAGCAGCCAGCAAATGGAAATAAATAGCTAAAGAGGCAATAGACTGCTGGGAGATACTCAGTCCTTGGCCACAAGGGCCATCCAGGCGTGTGTTTAAAGCAAACCCCTGTGTTTGTGCTCCTGTGCAGCATTTACCGCCTGTTCTCCTCGGACAGAAAGCGCGTGGAGACGGCGCTGGAGGCCTGCAACCTGCCCTCCTCCAGGGTAAGCACTGAGCTCTTGCTGGGGAAGATGGAACAGGAAAGCCTTATAAGTATGATTGTCTGGCAAAAGGTTTGGAGAATATGGAAACTATAAGTGAGATTGAAATGAAAGCAAGCTTTGAGATCCCTCAGTTACTGAACTACTGGAAAACAATGGTGTGGCCAGCTGAAGGTGATCCCCTTTTGATGGAACAACACCCTCTGCTTGCAGACAGCTCCAAGGGTCAGAGCAGACCCTACAGCTTGGCAGAAGGGGCCCAAAGTGGAGCTTTTAGGGTTTAAAATGTAACACAGGATGGTAATGTAGTGATTCTTATAGGCTGTATGTAAATGCTATAGGATTTGTATCTTGTACTAGATTAGTTAGTAAAAATTAGAGTATTCAACACAGAAGATGATTTATTGTATTGTAACGAGAACCTTGCTCTCTTACCCCTTTTACTCTTTTCCTCTCTTACTCTCTTACCCTCTCATCCTCTCTCCCCCTCTCTTCTCTCAGTCCTGCTCTGAGCTGTGGCTGGCAGCTCCCAGCAGGGCCCTGCACCCAGGCCCTGTGCAATAAACCCCAAGTTCCACGACCTGGCTGCAGAGATCTCTCATCTCCATCCATCCTGACCGTCCTACCCCCCGACGCTCCTACAAGCAGGGCTGGGCTGGGCTGGGCTTGGCTGGGCTGGGCTTGGTTTGGTTTGGCTGGGCTTAGCTGCTGTGTCCTCTCCTGTGAGCTGGGCCATGGCTTGGCTGGGCCTGCTGTGCTGCCTTTGCTCTGGATGGCTCCTCAGCAGCAGCTCTGGCTGTCCCACCCCGAGGTTCCTGAGACCCCTCTGAGTGCCTTTGGGTTGGAGTTGTTTAGGATCAGGGGCACTGGAAGAAGCCTGAAAGGATTCAAAGGAAGGGCAGAGCTTGTGTGACCTGTCCTGGAGGAATCCTGTGAGGGCATTTTAGGAATGGGTGACTGTTGCACAATTTCAGTATTAGCCTGAGGTGTGATCCATAACTGGAGATAAGTGACAGGATAAACCCTCCTGCCTTACCCAAAAGGTGCATGAAGGAAATGTGGAAATGTGGTGTGGAAGCTGCTAACACTGCAGGGATGCAGCCATTGCATCCTGCTCATCCAGGAGCTCTCCTCAACCCAGAGCATTTCCAGGATGGCACCTGGCCCTCAGGAAGGCTTTTTTCCATGGAGTGACCTTGAGCAGGTGATTCCAGTTAATGCTGGAGTCACAGAGTCACAGAGTGGGTGAGGCTGGGAGCAACCACAGTGGGACATGTGCTCCCACCTCCCTGCTCAAGCTGGGTTTTGATCCCAAGAAAGCTTCTTGCAGGATAATTCCTGTATTCAGGGGCCCAAGAGGTGGGGCACAACCCTTCTGTAGCAGAGCCAGCCTGCATCTCCTGATCCCCTGACTTATACAAAGCTCTGTGCTGTGAGATTTCCTTGACATTTGCTCCCCCAGTGGTTTAACAGAGCCCATTCCTGTAGCTCCAGAACAGTGGAGCAGAATCTTCCCCAGCCAACCCTCAGACACCCCTTACAGTGAGACCTTCCTTCGTAGGTTTAAATAAAATTCCAAGGAATGTCAGCAAAGTAGGTGTAAAATACTATAATGAGCTTATCTGAAGTATATTGTGAGGTTAGAAATGTGGAGAGAAAGGTTTTAAAGATGAGTTTCCATTTAATTGATAGCAAACAAGACAAAGTGTGCAAAAAAAAAATCTCTGAAGCACTGCTCTCTGAATCAGCTGATTTATTTCTTCCGTTTACTACGTGTCTTTGAAAAGAAAATTTAAATATCATTTGGGTCTTTGGAAGAAGCTGCAGCCTTTTCCTGCTATTTATCTAAGTAGAACCAGTTTTACATACACACTGCTGGATGCTTGTTGCTGGGATACCATCTTGAAAATTATTCAGAGTATGAAGTAGATCCTTTCTTTGGTTGGGACAAAAGGGAAATGTGCTGCATACACCAAAGAGAACTGTGTTGATCATCTTTGGAAAATACTGTAGAAGGGCAAAACTGAATTTCATGGAGGTAAGGGAACAGAAGTAAAGCAGAACTTCAACCACAGCTCCTTTCCTTTGTGTTCCTGTTTATTTGAGTAAGTGAAATTCTTAGCTTCAGCTTCCAGCTTTTCTGCCCTATTGTACTGCGGGACACATGGTGTTCCCATAAAGCCTTGGAAGAGCAATGGACTCCAGCAGCATGCAAGACATGAATATCAGGGAGTCCCACTCAGCCAAATGACACCAAATTATTCAGAGAATTCATGGAAGTCTCTCATGGATGTTAGCAGTTCAGGCTCTGGATTTTCATATCCCGCCTCATGGATTTTCCCCCTGACTTTGCACACCTCTCATTGCTCTGGGAAGATGTGGAGCTCATTGGCCATGAGCTTCACACCATGTGTGCTGCAGCTCCTGGAACTGAGGAGTGAATCTTCAACCTGGGCCAGTCCCTCATGTGCCTCCAACAGTGCCCTGGGCACGGGGCCAGGGGACAGTGTCCCTGTGTGGGCTTTTCTGTGACAGGACAGGTACCCCCTCCATCAGCCCCACTCCCCAGGGAATTCCCTGGGGAGTCTGTGCCAGAAGACCCCGTGGCACAACCTGCAGGCTCTGCATTTTGTGCAAGAGGAGTAAGAGTTCTCCTTGCCCAGGTAATTGTTTTCCTCCTGAGGAATAGCACCAGAGAGGATCCTCGGAATTGCTGAAAATAAATCCTTTGTTTTGTCTTTAAGGGCCTTAATAAGGGATGGGTTCTCTGCAGTGCTGAGCAGCAGGGCATGAGCACAGTGGGATGCCCCATGGGCCTCAAGTCAAGCACTTTTCAAAGCATGGCTTTAGTAATTTCTCTCTTTCTGGGTCACAACTGGCCTGTGTGGAGTCTTGTAGGGTCAAGCTCTGGTTTTTGGAACAGTCATCATCCAGCAGATCTGAAAGCAGAAGGATCTTTAAATAAATGTTTAAACAAAGTTTTAAAATACCCCAATGAATTTCTGAGTTTGCCATCTGATTCCCCTATGTTTTGTTATTTTTTTAAAATCTTGGCTATCTTTTGGAAATGGGGTTGCTTTTTGTTATTGTTGGATATTTTTTGTTTGTTTTGGTTAAAGGTGCCTTAAATAGAATTTGGAGAGCTTTATTTTAGCTGGCCTTTTGGCTGTGAAAAGTGGTTTTTGCCTTCTAGTTAATGCCAGGGTTCACAATGAAGCACCAGTGAGCTTGAGTGTTAAAATAAAATAACCAGCTCTTGAGTCCAGTCTGTGCAAATAATCTGAATTAGCTCTCATGCTGCCAAATACATAACAGACTGGATACAGATGTTATAAAAGCAGGCAGGTTAGCAGGCAAATCCTAAATCAGCAGGCCTTGAATTTAGTAGAGTCTAATCAAGGAATAAAATGGAATGGCAGTGTTAAGCCAGGCTGGAAAGGAGGGATGCTCTCTCTCGTGTGGTGCAGAAGGTTTGTGCTCTGTTCTTTGGTGTCACAGAGATGAGCCCATAAGGTGTGTGGGTGGTTCCTCTGGAACGGGGATGGCTCAGACCAGGCTGACTCAGGGGGCAGTGTATTTTAATCCCTGGGGGCACACAGGCTTTTGGAAGCCAAGTATAGCTGTGGGAGGCTGTGCCTGAGGAGGCTTCTGTCTCCCATCTAGATAGCTGTGGTCTGTAGCCCACTGAGGGTGGTACTGGTAGGAAATACCTATTAAAAGGTTCTGTACACTTGTGCCTGAGGGCTCCTGTTGGTTGTTCTCTTTGCAGTGGGTGTTTGCAGACACAGGGAGGCAAACTGATGTCTGTTAATTGGGTCTGAGTGGCAAATCAGAGCCTGGATCTCAGGTTGTTGCAAGACATCCACTTCTGTTCAGCTGAGCACCTTCAAATCCCTTGTAAAGAAAAAAGTAGTGGCTTGATGGGAGGCTGTAGCTCTGTGGTGGTCAGAGAAGCATTGAAAAGCCCCTGGCTGAGGAGCAGCACCCTGCTGGACAGGAGTTATGAGCAGAGGGAGCAGGGGAGGGCAGGCTGCCAGCTCTAACAGGAGAATTCCCTGGTTTTGCTTTGAGAATCCCAGCCTCAAGGCAAACACAGGTGTTGGCACTGAGAGCTCCACAGCTTGGGTTTTTCAGTGTCATGGGGGCAGTGCCACTGGCAGCCCTCACTGGAAGGAGCTGTTTTCATCCTGTACCCTCAGCATTCCCACTTCTCCATCCACCCTGGCACTGCCTTTGGCAGCAGTGAGGTACCTGGCTCAGGGATTGATCCCATGTGGAACAAACACACAGGGAGGTCCTGGCTGGGGAAGTTCTGAATCAGCTCACCCTGCAGCCACCCCAGTCTGCCAGAAAAAGGAGGGCACAGGGCTCTGTGGGGTCACCCTAGAATGTTGGAGCCTGGAGATGGTTGTCCAGGCAGAGCAGAGGAACAGCCCAGATTGGTCAGTGTGGGACAGATTGACTCCTGTGGACAGAAACAGGATAAATCCCTCTCAAGCCTCTGTGGATTTTGGATGAAAGGACACAAAGTGATGCCTGTGGCATTGTTTATTTATTGTAAGCTGAAGCAGGAAGAACACAGCAAAGTTTCCTTGGGTCTGACAAAAGCTTGAGCCGTGCTCCAGGTTCCCCTGGCAACGCTGCTGAACAGGCACAGTAATACAGGCACTGCTTGCCCCAGCCAGCTTTGCCAAGCAGGCAGCTTTGTGCCCAAGTCACCATTCTCCTCCTCTAGCTCATCCCTTTCTGGAGCATGGAGAGCCATCCTGTGGGCCATGGTACTCCCAGAGACCACATGTCACAGCTTTGGATGAAGGACTACCCAGGACAGTAATTGCCTCCAGTAATTTGATTTTTTCAGAGAAAAACGTAGTGAGGGTGATGGAATTGTCATCTAGAAGTTGGACTAAATTTAAATCACTCTAAAATTAAATCACTCTAAATTGTAGAAGATGTAAGAAAAAAAAATGCTGGCATGTCTTCTGCAGGTGAGCATTTTTATCAATTCCTCTAAAAGAAATCTGCTTGTCAAGTGTCTTACACTGAGTGTTCAGGACAAAGATGGATGGCAAAGCTGTGCTGCTTGAGTCCTGCCCAGAAGTGTGGCATCTTGAAGGTGTATCTGCAGGAAGGAACAGGCAGAATCCCTGCTGCTGTCAGGGAACAAGTGTATTAGTAGTGACACAGTGACCCAGATTGTTCCCCAGCTGTGTGACAGCTCTGGAAAGATGAGAGACATCCTCACCCCCTGTGATGCTGCTGCTCTGCTCACTGAAAACCACAGGCTCAGCACCACTGGGGTGAGCTCAGAGAACTCAGCAGGGCTGATGCACCCATTTCTGCTGTGGGGCAGGGGGTCAGGTGGGCAGAGGTGCCTTCCTCCTCCTTCCCAGGTGCTCAGAGGATGAGATACCTGAGCCTCATGGAAGCTGAAAAATAAAAAATAAAAAATACAGATCTATAATAAATAACATAAATATATTATATATAATATAATAAATAAAATAAAAAATACAGATGTATTTGTATGTATTTTTTAAAGCTGTACTCTTTAGGCTGCTGTGGGATTCAGGGGAACTTACAGCCCTGCAGAATCTGAGCTCCTGTGGGTTGCAGGAAGGAAATCAAAAGCAGCCAAGAAGTGAGTGCTCATTTTGCACAGAACATCTAACAGTGCTGTATGTCTCTTTGACTGTTTGTTTGCCCATTCCACAGAATGATTCCATCCCCCAAGACGACTTCACACCAGAAGTGTACAGAGTGTTCCTAAACAACCTCTGCCCTCGGCCTGAGATCGACCACATCTTCTCGGAGTTGTAAGGAAGGACTCTCATTGCTTTATTTATTTATTTTCCCCATTCACTGATTCTCTGGCCTGGCCATGGCAAAGTAGGTTATTTACACTACAGCAGCATGCAGTGCTGGCCAGTAACAGATTTAAATGTCAAGCAGGGCTGTTATTTAATCTTGGATCAAGGGCTCCTTCTCTCCCAGGCTTTTACCTCCACTTCTGATGGCTTGAGTGTTAAAGGAATTTGTTCCTAGAGGAGCAGAACTGCCAGGTCTTGTTTTTCTGCATTGATCAGGACAGTTTAGGTTTCCAAGAAAGTAAAGAAAGAAGAGTAATAAGCAATAACAGCACAAAATAGGCATGAAAATATGTATAATCACCCCCAAAAGCTTAATTAGGACCGGCAAAAAAAGTGCAGCAACTTTTAGGATTTGTGTATGATGAATTCACACCGTGAAATTAAATTAGCAGCCAGCTACAACTGATTTCATCCATTCAGTTATTAGCTCTGTAAGTCCTGGTGCTTCTAGCCCTGCAGCAATCTGTGTACTTCACTTCCAGCACAGCCTGATCAATGGAGGCAGGACAGCAAGCCTGGCTTTCTGTCTGGGCACAGCTTGTACCAAGCTCTGCTCTCTTCACTGACTCTCCAAACAGCATCTTTTTGCTTGCATTGCAGAGCACCTCGAAGCTTTTAGAAGGCTTATAAAAAAGGACCCACACAAATTACCAGAATAATGAAATCAGGGCTGCTGTTATTCAGCAGCAAACCCAAATAGCTGGGCCAGGAGTGCCAGCAGAGTGGCTGTGGCAAAGTGGGGATTGAATCCCACGGCTGTTTTCTCTTTTACTTTTTTAAATAGCTTCATTCCAAGAATTCAGAGGAATGCAAGGCTTTTAGCATTGCTCCACGTCTTCCCATTGATGCCTGAAATGCTGAACATTGTCAAAGATCTTCCTCCTAGATGTCTGATGGAGAACCTTTGGCAAAATAAATTAGTGCAGAGACACAGTGGAGCAATGTTTTTGTTGTATGATAGTTTCGTATGAATCTTGTTTCAGTTTCCTTGGGAGGTTTCAGATGCAGAACCAGACTTTAAGGAAATGTATTAAAATGACTTTGCTGTTGCTTTAATTTCTCTCCAGTGGTGCCAAGAGCAAACCCTACCTTACTGTTGACCAGATGATGGACTTCATCAATTTGAAGCAGCGGGATCCACGACTGAATGAGATCCTTTACCCACCTCTCAAACAAGAACAAGTTCAAGTGCTGATTGAGAAGTATGAACCTAACAGCAACCTGGCAAAGAAAGGTCAGTGCATTTCACACTCCTGCTGCACTCAGAAACATGAGCTCAGCTCTCCTACATGCTAGAGCAAAATTTGCTTCCAGATCCAGCTGCTGTCCCAGCTGTCTGCTTTGGGATCACACAGGCCAGTGAGACATCCTGTGGTGCATTTTAAAATGTGTTGGGTTGGTGTCAGTGAGCAAGGATGGGGCTGCTTTCCCTCCTTGCTTTGCAGTGTGTGGGATTGACAGAAGAGTTGCTCTGGTATGTGACCCTCAGCAGAAGCCTGACTATCACAGTGGCTGTTTACCAGCATCTAAAATGTAACGTTGAAAGAAGAAAATCAGGGACAATGGAACTCAGAGCGTGATAATTCTATCATTTAATAATACTATTAAGTCTAGCCCTCTGCTTTTGGATAAAGTGGTGTCCAATGCAAGATATGAGATCAACTCACTGTATTTCATGCTATAATCACAGAAAATTCCCTTTTGAACATCCCAAGTGTTGTCAGGACTTAGCTGGGCACTTAGCCAAAACCAGTGAAAGAGCTCCTGCACAAATCTCTGCAGATTTTTGCTACCACCACAAGTCTTAAAATAGCATTCAGTTTGTGTCTGCATCCTGTTTTATTCCAATCCACATATCCAGATGATTAGCCCAGCTTTTGATGTGTTTACACCTTAGAAATTTTAGAGGCATGGGAGTATCCTGAAAAACAGATCTAATATGAAAAAAATATGGTTTGGTCCAGAGATTATGGATCAAAAAAGTCAAAAAAGACCCAAGAGTCTGGAGGTTAACTGAAGGCACTCCCACCTCTCCCTGGAAGCCTTCTCACCTTGACATCTTGCTGAGGAAATTGATGTCACCATCAGTGTTGTCTCTCAAACACTTCTAATTTTTTCTCTTAAGGCTTCTTATTTTCCTAGTCCAATCCAGGTGAGTGTTTCCAGAGTTTTTGCTGGAGGGTTAAATCCTGCTTCTTGGCCATATTTATGCACACTGTCTCCTGACGTCAGCAGGAGCAGTACCTTGAGGAAATGGAGCCCCTTGTGACCTCCTTTCTCATCTGTGCAAATATTAGAGCTGTGCTCTGTGCTTACCTTACTTCCCACCAGCAGCAGCAAAGTCTGCTACCTGAAAGATCATCCTTGTTACCCAAATATTAGCACTGCATATCAACCAAATAAAGGATTTATTAGAAGGAGGTGTGTGCTGTGCCAGAGTCACACCTCTGACTAGCAATAAGGAGTAAACACGAAACAGAGCCCAGGTAGAAGGTGCTGTGGTGGTGTTTGCTCCCACCCTCTAGTGGGATTTGCTCACCCTGTTTACCTTGGAGCACACAGGTTTTTGTGGGATTTGCTCACCCTGTTAACCTTGGGGCACGTTTGCTGTTCCACAGGTGCCTCTTGTCCTGGGTGTGATTTATGCTGCTCTTAAAGAATCAGTTCTCTCTGTAAATGCTGACTTGAAGAAGGGATAGATCACAAAGAGTTAATTCTTTTAGTGGGATTGTGGTGGGGCTTTTTCCCTTTTCAGGCTTGTGCACTGGGGTCCAGCTGGCACAACCTGAATCCACCTCTGTGCTGAAGAACCACCTCCCTGTCTGGCAGCTGAGCTGCAGGAACTGGCAGCAGCTCCAGTGTAAATCCCAAGCTTACTGCCTTAAAATGACAGGAATTGGCTAATCAGGGATGACATGGGGACACAATATTTTCTGTGCATCTGCTCCGAGTTGGGAATGCAATTCACTGTATATTAAATGAAGTGTAGGTGTGCATTCATTTCTGCACTCATGGAATAATTGTCCAAAAATGCTTCGTGTCTATAAAATGTCACCAAAATGTAACCACATATTTAGAGCAGTGATTTAACCTTTTAATATGGTGCTCTGGAAAAGGGATGATCCCCCAGGCTTCCTGCTGCCAGGGTTGTTGAAGTGAAGTTTCCGGACAGTTTTTGGCCAGAAACATGAACAGAGGTACCCAGACAACCTCCAAAAGTGTGATGCACATGCTTGTTAGCAAATGAAATGCCATGCATTGAAAAGTTCTTTTAAATAAAATCAGGGATTTTTTTTTTCCTTAAAAATGTAAACCCAAATTTATGAAGTGGAAGCCATGTGCACACCTGACTCCTTGCTCCCCGTTTGGATAGTGCTAGACCTTCACTCCTCTGATTGTTCTTCATAATTTCCTGTCCCAGCTCATTGGCTGTGCACATCCACTGTACCACAATTTTCTCTTCTAATGATTCTCTCCTAGCTAATTGAATGGATTTCTGGTGAGTTGTTGTACACTATTCAAGTGCTTTTGGGATCTCATAATTCACCTGGTCCCCATTGTAGCCTTTTGGTTGCACCTGTTGCTGCTCACCTGCACTGTTTTGAACACAGTAAGCAAGAGCTGTCCATCATGTTTTACATTTTTGCAGCTCCTCAGGTACCTGGTAAAATTATTTGCTGGTGAAGTTCCTGAGGTTACAGAGGTCTGAGTAAAACTCCTGCCTGTGCTCCTGCAGTCACTGATGTATTTTAGGTGCATTTATTGCTGGGACTGGAGCTTTTGCAAAAAGTGGAGCTTTTGCAGAATCAGCAGAGAGGTGGGCCTGACATATGCATAGGTTAAGTGTCTGGAGTAGTGTTTTATTGTGGGCCAGGTAAGCTGATGTGATTAATGCTTTGTGTCGTGCTGGGAAGGAGATAAATTCCCTGCAGAACTGTTCCCTTATCAGGTGGGAGCAGGAGGAGCCCCTGGTGGTGCTGAGCAGTCTCTCCCTGTGTGCTGGGGGCTGTGGGGCTGGAGAAGAATTTCCCAATTTATGTGTGCTTCCCATTCCACAGAAAGGTGTGGCTCTTCCTTACATAACAATGCAATTCATTTCTGAGAGTTTCTGAGCTCAGAGGGAGCTTTGAGAGCTCAAACCCCAATGTCTCAGCTGAAAGCTTCCATTCTGAAAGCAGGGGAGTGCTCTGGAAAGCACAGAGCCACAGCCCCGGGGTCACCTGCACACTCCAGGCGTGCAGCAAGAGCTGTACCCAGCACAGGCTGGGGATGGAAGCAGGGAGAGCACAAACCCAAGGGCTGCTAGGGAAAAGGGTGTGAAAAACTAAAGCCATTAATTATGTGTTTCCACATCATCCTTGGAGGGAGCAAGGCAAGGGTTAGGCTATTATCAGCCTTTATTTTTAGAGTGGTTTTGTGGTGGAAGATTTAAAAATAGAGTGTGAAAGTGCTTTAAGTAATGGCATAAAGATGTTGATTTTTTTTCCCCTTATAAGGATGCATTTATTTAAATATTATCTCTACTTCTTTAGTTTTAAAGGGCCAACCCTTTAGATCTG